GGCACATCCCCAGTAGGAGATGTGCAGGAGGCGGCTGATCGATGTTTCTCTCTCGTCGATGTTTCTGACTCTCTATCCCTCTCCCTCCTCTCTGTAAAAAAATCAATAAAATATATTTAAAACAAAAACCTTCGGCGTTGCTGGTCGCTCCTAATGCCATGTGCATCGTTCACGCCATCGGATTACGCTCTTGTCTTAATTATCTCCTGTCTCCGTTGTTTGGATTTAAATTTGCTCTTTTTTTAACTTCTGCAGACAGACGTCCGCCTCTCCTCTCCCGAGACAGGCCTCGGCCACCACCTGCCCTGAGCGCTGCTTCTCTGAAAGCGCTCACACACGGTGGCACTTTATTCTCGTCCAAATAAAAATGCCGTCCAGCTCTTACTAGCTGCCGCCCTCACCCTTGCGTCACTTAGATGGACGCCCAGACGTGAGGGAGTGTCGTCGTCCGCCTCCCTGATTTCCCGCCAGCTCGCCGTGGCCGGGACACGGGCGCCGCGGTGCCGTTTCTCCGGCGTCTCTCGGGACTGGCGGTGCGAGCCCCGCCTGGGTCCCCGCTGGGGACGGCCCCACGTGACTACGCCGCGGTCCCTGCCGATCGGTGTCCGCGCTGGTCTCTGAGGTTCTGTCCGTTCTGACGTCTCCGTGGGGGTTTTGCTAGCTCTCCTCTCGGCTACGCACCGACTGTGCGTGTCCTGTCACCGCTGCCCGGTTTGGCTTTATGGGTCTTAGGGTTCTGTTTGTGGGCGCATACGGGTTCAGAATGGATGCCCTCCTCCACGTCGGACCACGTGTTAAACTCAGGACCCTCGTCATCTCTGGCCTGAGCGCCCGGCACCAGCCCCTGGCCACACCGGATGCGCCTTCCCTGCCCTCGCACGCCTCCCCCTACAGCTCTCCGTGTTAAAGGGGCTTCTGGCAACACCAGCTCGTCTCCAGTCCCGCCGGACGTGCTTGGTCTTGGGACGCGCGGTCCCTTCGAAGCGCAACCACCTGCTGCCTGGCACCTGGTTGTCATTCGCTCAGGGCTTCCTGTCACCCCTTTCCTGCCTCCTTCGGATCAATCACATGATGCGACTCTTTCCTTTTGACCCTCCGGGAGCTGGTTGGCTCATCACCCTTTGGTTACCCCCTCGGCGGCCGCCTAGAGACCATCACATCCATCCTGGACCACTAGCGTGGCCTCCGATGGGCACCGGGACCCTCGCCCTGGCAATGCACGGGCTGCCACGGCAACCTCCCCGAGGCCTCTGCCTCCCACGCGACTTTCACCGTGTACTTCAGCTCATGCTCGTGTCACACGGACGCGAGTATGCGGACCTTTCGGCGCACACGGACTTAGAGCATCTTCCTGCCCAGCTGACAGCCTCACGCGAGGGCAGGCTGAGAGAGGCAGGGAGCGGGAAACATCCATGTGAGAGAGAAACATCAGTCCGTTGCCTCCCATACACTCCCAATGGGGGTCAAACCCGCCCCCCAGGTCTGTGCCCTGTCCAGGAGGGGGGCCAGCCGCCTCTGGGTGCACGGGACGATGCTCAACCCACTGAGCCCTCTGGCCAGGCTTGACCACTTTTTAAATTTTTTATTGATTGATTGATTGATTGATTGATAATCCTCACCCGAGGATATGTTTCCATTGATGTTTAGGGAGCGTGGAAGGGAGAGAGGGGAAGACAGAGACAAACTTCGATGTGAGAGAGACACATTAATTAGGTTGCCTCCTACATGTGCCCCGACCAGGGCCCAGGCTGGGGAGGAGCCTGCAACCGAGGGACGTGCCCTTGACGGAAATCGAACCCGGGACCTTTGGTCCACAGGCCGGCGCTCCATCCACTGAGCCCTCTGGCCAGGCTGGACCCTGTTTAAATCCTGGAACACTGAAACCTCGTGGGACAGGGTGGTCGGGTCCACACCTCCCAGCTTTCTCGTCCGCCTGCCCTCCTCCGTGCCTCGGCCCCTCCCTGTACGTCCACGCCTCCTTCTGGGGCCCTCCTCTTTGCCTGGGGGCCCCCGTCCTTCTTCAGGCCGCTCCCCCGGAAGCAGGGCGTCCTGGATTGGGCTGCACCTTCCTGTGTGTGTGTTCGTCCATCTGTACACACACAGGACGCACACGGCTCCCGTCTGAACAGCCAAGCGCACGGCTCAGCGGCCTGAAGCGCGTTCACACGGTCGTACAACCACCACCCCCGTCACCGCCAGAACGTCGCCTCGTCCCCCTCTGACGCCCGTCCCCGTCACACACGAGTCCCCAGCCCCTCCCCCAGCCCGGCACCCACTGCCCCACTTCCTGTCTCTGGGGATCTGACCCCTGGGGGACCTCACGGGTGGCTCAGCAGGTCTGTCCCCCTGGGTCTGGCTTCCCTCACTCGCACCTTCACGTACGAGGACCTAGCGATGGGTATAGAACGCTAAGTTGATAATTGTCCGTGAGCACTTTAGAGATGCCATCTGGCTTTCCTCCTCCCTTGACAAGCCAGCCATCGGACAAGGCCGTCCCCCACCGGCTCCCGGACACCCCCGTGCCTCCGGGCGGCTCGGCCTCCTCTCAGGGCCTGGGTCTGGGCGCCTTTTGTCTCCCCGCCGTGGGTCCCGAGAGCAGCTGGAGTTGGTGGCCTCCTGTCTGCCATCATTTGGGGGAGGCGATCAGCCCCCAAGTCTCCAGGATTCTGTGTCCCCCCCGTGTCTCCGCTCCTTTTGCGATCTCACGAGTGTCAGGACTTTTAACCGTCTGTCTCTCCTGGTTGCACTTTTTCCTCTCGGTTTAATTCTGCTTTTTTCCATCCCCCGGGGCTATTTTCATCCAGCTCACAAGTGTCCTTATCTCCACGCCCTCTGCTCTCAGGCCGCCTACCCTGTCCTTCTCAGGACTTCCTTCGTCTGATTTTTCATAGAGATTTCATTTCTCTGGCAAAACTCTCAGCTTTCCATCTAGTTCCTTGAACCTGTTCCTCTGGTTATTTAAGACCTCAGCTCGGCCGGCGTGGCTCCGTGGTTCAGCGTCGACCTAGGAACCAGGAGGTCACAGTTCCATTCCCAGTCGGGGCACAGGCCCGGGTTGCGGGCTCGATCCCCAGTGCGGGGCGTGCAGGAGGCAGCCGGTCCCCGATTCTCTCTCATTGACGTTTCCATCTCTCTCTCTCCCTTCCTCTCTGAAGTCAATAAAAATATATTAAAAAGTAGCAATAAAGCAACCACAAATGAGCAGACGCGTTTTTAAATAAAGGGCCTCAGCAGACAGCTCAGAGGTGAACCCCATCACCGACCAGCGTGTGGGCCGGTGGCCGGCCTTGGGCTGCCCGTCGGGGTGGGCGCCCGTGGCTCCTTCCAGGGGCAGCTGGTGGGGACGTGGTCTCTCTGGCCTCACATCTCCGCGGCTTCCCCGGCAGCCCCGTGTGGTTGGGGATTTTGACCGATGAACCAGGAGGTCACAGTTCAATTCCCCGTTACCTTACCTGGAATCTGCTGCTTGTAGCAAACACACCCAACGTCAGTGGCTTAACGCAGCCCTTGCCGCTCACGATGGTGAGAGTGGGCGAGGGGCTTCGCGGGGAGGCGGTTCTGCCAGCCCGGCGGGGGCGGGGAGTGGCTGCTCAGGGTGGGGGGTCTCGGACGGCCTCGCCGCGTGTCCACGGCATGGCGCTGGCTCCCGGCCGGGGCAGCTCCGTCCTCCGCGGGGCCTCCTCGCCGGCTCAGGCTGGCTCACGTGGTCCCCAGGGCACGTGAGGGACACACAGTGGGACCTCCCAGCATCCTTCCCCTCTCGGTAAGTTCAAGGTCATCCAAGTTCAAGTGCTGAGAAACGGTCTCTCTTGGGGGAGGAGCTGAGAGCACGGACGCACTGAGCCTCCGCCTCTCGGGTCGGCTCCCGGGATCCACTCCCCCCGTTTCTCGGTCTCTGGAGGCTCCCTGCCGTCACCTCCTCCCAGGGGACCGGTTCTCCCCCGGCTGCGGAAGGTGCAGGTGGGCACCTTGGTCCAGGCCTGCACGGAGATGACCTGAGGCCATGGGGGTCTCAGCTGAAAGCCCCCCTCCTTGGTAGACTCTGAACCCCAGTTCTTCCCAGGGCCATGAGTCTGCGGCAGGCTCTGCTTAGCTTTTACCTCCGAGCAGCTTCTTTAGCTCAGTTCATCAGGATCTCACCCCAGCCGGTGCCGTCTCACCCCAGCCGGTGCCGTCTCACCCCAGCCGGTACCGCCTCACCCCAGCCGGTGCCGTCTCACCCCAGCCAGTGCCGCCTCACCCCAGCCGGTGCTGCCTGACTCAGATGCCTCGAGGGCCCTTGCGTGGCAGGCGCCCCCTCTCTGGGGCCCCCCATTGACCAGGATCTTGTCCCCTCAAATCCTTGCTGTCTGTGCCCTGACCCCCTGCTTCTCCACCAGCCCCATTCAGCCTGTGTCCACACTGTGACCCCAAAGCTGCCCCAGAGGCGCGGGTGCCCCCCCGCCCCCCGCAGGCTCCCGGTTGGTCCCTCCGCTCCTGGACTGGGCGCTCCTGGCTGGGGCCAAGGCTGCCACCAGCGTGGGGGTCGTGGGCGGGTCTGGCTTTGGGCGGTTTCAGCAGAAGGTTTGGTCGGAATGAACATCAGAACCGAAGCGAAGCCCCCGTGTCCTTCCCGTCTTTTTCCTCTGCAAACTCGTTTCGTGGATTGTGGTGTCTCTGTCGATGGTGTTTCTAGAAGGAGCTTTAGACACGGGGCCGAGCGGCTCAGCAGTGACCGTCCTCGGCCACCTGTCCTGCAGGCCCCGCCCTTTCCAGACGCCCACCCCCCGGGGGGCACAGCGCGTCTGGCTAAAAGGGGCCCCCGCCGGCCTGCTCCCATCCCTCCCGTGACGCGTGGGCCCCGAGGGCCCAGCGTAGAGAGACGTGCCCGTGGCTCTGCTGTGAGTGAGGGGGCAGCCACGCGAGCCCCGGGCCCCTGGTTCTGGCCGGCCACGCGCAGCGGGGGGCACGGGGAAGGGCTGCGCCCGTCGCGGGGCACTGACGCCTCCCCCGCCCCGCAGGCTGCGGGAGCACCACCGCGCCACCATCAGGGTCATCCGCCGCATGCAGTACTTCGTGGCCAAGAAGAAGTTCCAGGTGAGTCCCGCTCACACCCGCTGCCCGCCGCCCCTCCCGCTGCCCGCCGCCCCTCCCCGCTGCCCGCCGCCCCTCCCCGCTGCCCGCCGCCCCTCCCGCTGCCCGCCGCCCCTCCCCGCTGCCCGCCGCCCCTCCCGCTGCCCGCCGCCCCTCCCCGCTGCCCGCCGCCCCTCCCGCTGCCCGCCGCCCCTCCCCGCTGCCCGCCGCCCCTCCCCGCTGCCCGCCGCCCCTCCCGCTGCCCGCCGCCCCTCCCCGCTGCCCACCGCCCCTCCGCCCGCTGCCCGCCGCCCCTCCCGCTGCCCGCCGCCCCTCCCCGCTGCCCACTGCCCCTCCCCGCTGCCCGCCGCCCCTCCCGCTGCCCGCCGCCCCTCCCCGCTGCCCGCCGCCCCTCCCGCTGCCCGCCGCCCCTCCCCGCTGCCCGCCGCCCCTCCCGCTGCCCGCCGCCCCTCCCCGCTGCCCGCCGCCCCTCCGCCCGCTGCCCGCCGCTGCCCGCCGCCCCTCCCCGCTGCCCACTGCCCCTCCCCGCTGCCCACTGCCCCTCCCCGCTGCCCACCGCCCCTCCGCCCGCTGCCCGCCGCCCCTCCCCGCTGCCCACTGCCCCTCCCCGCTGCCCGCCGCCCCTCCGCCCGGCTCAGAGGTGACAGGCGCTCCCAGCAGAGATGCCCTCGGCGACGGGTGCCTGTCCCGCCCGTGGGTCCCCTCCCTCCGTCCCTCAGAGACCCGGGGGCCCCGCTGTCTGCACCGCAGAGCCAGGGGCAGAGGGGTGACTGTGCCTTTGCCCGCAGCAAGCCCGGAAGCCCTACGACGTGCGGGACGTCATCGAGCAGTACTCCCAGGGCCACCTCAACCTCATGGTGCGCATCAAGGAGCTGCAGAGAAGGTGGGCGCCCGGGACCCGCAGGCTCCGGGCACGGCTCCCTCCACGCGGGCCCCCGCCTGCCCTTGTCGGAGCTGCAGGCCCATCCCCGCCGCCCAGCCCAGGAGCCCTGCCCGGCTCACGCCCACCCTGGCCTCCCACCCTGGCCTCCCCCCGGGACGGGAGCGGGGACCTGCCTCTACGGGGAGCGGGTGCTCTGGCTTCTGACCTGGAGGCCGGCAGCCTGTTCGCGTGGGAGCAGGAGGCCCTGGGCCTGTGCAGGCTCAGACCAGCGGTGTCTCCCCGGGCCGGCCTGGGGCCTCGCTCCATCCCGGCTGCAGGGACAGCGGAGGGTGTGCTGCTCCTGCCCACGGGCCGGGGGCTGGGGCTGCCTGGCCCTGACCCGCCCCTGGGACACGAAGGCCCCGCTCAGGGCCCAGCCACGGACCTGCCTCTCGGGCGTGTCCGCGGGGCCAGCCTGGGCACTATGGCACAGCCTCGGGACACGGGGCGATCCCGGGCCCGGCCCTGCCCAGGAGGCGTCTGCGGGAGGGACCTGACCCCCGCCCCCACCCCCACCCCCAGCGGGAGCACGGGCCTCGGGTCTGGGAGGAGCTGGCAGGTCTGGGGCAGCGGCGAGGCCCCGGGTGGGCGGCCTGTTCTCGCTGGGCACATCGCCGTCTGCTCGCCCACAGGCGGGTGAGGCGGGCGTGAGCGGCTCTCTGTCTCCCTCCCAGGCTGGACCAGTCCATCGGGAAGCCCTCCCTCTTCATCTCCGTCTCAGGTGGGTTCCGGGCACAGCGTGTGGGCACGGCGGGCGCCAGCCCCGTCCTGCTCTCCCCACCCCCATCAGACGGCCCCAGGGTCTCCGCACTGGGTGGCAGGCCATGAGCCAGAGAGGGGCAGGGGATGGGGTTCCCACCCCACCTCACTGCACCCCACACACCCACCCCACCTCACTGCACCGCACCCCACCTCACTGCACCCCACACACCCACCCCACCTCACTGCACCCCACCTCACTTCACTGCACCCCACACACCCACCTCACTGCACCCCACCTCACTGCACCCCACACACCCACCCCTCCTCACTGCACCGCACCCCACCTCACTGCACCCCACACACCCACCCCACCTCACTGCACCCCACCTCACTTCACTGCACCCCACACACCCACCTCACTGCACCCCATCTCACTGCACCCTACACACCCACCTCATTGCACCCCATCTCACTGCACCCTACACACCCACCCCACCTCACTGCACCCTACACACCCACCTCACTGCACCCCATCTCACTGCACCCTACACACCCACCTCACTGCACCCCATCTCACTGCACCCTACACACCCACCCCACCTCACTGCACCCTACACACCCACCTCACTGCACCCCATCTCACTGCACCCCACACACCCACCCCACCTCACTGCACCCCATCTCACTGCACCCTACACACCCACCTCACTGCACCCCACTGTACCCCATCTCATCACACCCCACTGCACCCACCGCACCCGCACCCTCTGACGTTCTTGCCGCAGAAGGTCATGGGTTCAGCCTTCCCCCGTGGGCTCCCTCTCTTCTCAGTCACGCTTCTCCCCACACACAGTCGGGGTCCCTGGCCTGCCCCCCCAACACGCACATTCTTGATACAACGTTTTGCCCCCAGAAAAGAGCAAGGACCGGGGCAGCAACACCATCGGCGCCCGCCTGAACCGCGTGGAAGACAAGGTAGGCGGGGTCCGGGCGCGGCTCTGGGGGCAGTGGCGTCTCGGGGCCCGCACGGTGCCCCCCACGAGCAGCCACTCACTCCCCAGGTGTGAGGACAGGGACGGAGCTGCCTGGGGGGTGCCCCTCCTCCCTCCGTGCTCGGGGCGGACACAGCGCCAGTGACTCCTGGTGCCCACTGCCCCCACCCGCTGGGCATCGTCCCGGGGCAGGAGGCCTCGGCCGGGCTGGTTTCTCGACCTCTGACAAGTGACCCCTTTCCTGACCGGTGGCACCGGTGCCCGCAGGCCCCTCCCGAAGTAGCTAGGAGTCGCAGCCCTCGCCCCCCAGCCGTGCACGCGGGGACCTCAGGGGTGCGTCATGGGGGAGGGGCTGTGCGGTCCCCACTGCGCTGGGAGGTGGGGGTGTCGGCCGAGACCCTGCTGGGCCCCAGGTGGGGCCCGGGATGCCCCGCTCCCGCCAGGCCCTGTGCCCTCTCCCAGGGGCCTGGGCGCCGCCTTTGAAGTCTGTGGGAGCGGCGTTATCTGCGAGCAGCTCCTGGGGCTGCGCGGACTTTATCGGAGTCGCTGGGGCTAAAAATAGAGGCGTTTCGGTTGGGCAGGGGGTGCTGCCCTTCGTTTCCCCGGCAACGCCGGGCTCTGGCCCATGTTCGTGGGCTGCAGCTGGGCAGGCGGGGCGGGCGCGGCCCGTCCACTCCGGGCCCCTCACCTGCACCAGTGGGGCCCCAAGACCAGTCCACGGGGTCAGGCCGAAAGGGAGGCCCCTGTCCAGGTGCCCATGGGGCTCCCACGGTGGGCCTGGCCCCTGGGTCAGCATGGGCCTGAGCGGCCTGGTGCCCGCCCCTTCCAGGCATGGCCCCGTCTGGCAGGATGGGAACGGAGCCCGGGAGTGGTCAGCCCACCAGGCCAGCCGGGGGCCCTGAGCTCGGCCACTCGTGGATGGGTCCTTGGCCTCAGTTGTGGAGGTTGGGGCAGGGACAAAGGGTGGGCACACCTTTCAGGGCTCATGGGGTGGGGGTGGAGGGGCGGGTGGAGCCCAGGACAGTGGGGCACCCTGTGTTGGGGCTTCCAGAGGAGGCAGGGGCTGATCCAGGGCACCCCAGCTTCCTCACCGGACCTGGCCTGGCCTGGCCACGGCAGCTTCTGCTGGGGGACCCCTGAGTGCAGCCTTGGGGTACTCACCCTCCTCCCTCCCCTGCCCAGCTGTCCGGCCTTTCTGAGGGCTCTGCCCACGGCTCTCGGCACACCCGGGAGCCTGGTGTCCTCTGGAAGGGTGACAGCAGGTGGGTGACAGGGTCCCCCGGAGCAGTGACCCTCCAGGGCTGGAGAGACACCACCAGGGGCCTAGCAGGACCAGCCCTGGGTGGGCTGCGGTCAGGGTGGTGGGCCACGGTCAGGGTGGCGGGCTGTGGTCAGGGTGGCGGGCCGCGGTCAGGGTGGTGGGCCACGGGGGACCAGCCACATTCTGCACACGTGGCACTTGGCGGGACCTGTCTGTGCCATCTTCACCCCCTGTGCTGCCCACGGAGGTGGAGTCACCTGCCCGGGGGTCTGGGGAGTGGGCAGGGCCACGCTGCCCCCTGGGAGTGTGGGCAGCCCCGCTGTCCATCCAGGCACCAAAGGAGAGGCCTGCCCTGCCCCACCCTGTGCTGACCGACACCCCCCTTGGGGACAGACCCTGGGAACTGGCCTCGCCGGGCCGAGAGGGCACCATGGCACGTCCTGGGCCCCACGTTATCGCTTATCACCGCCGCCATCGGGCCCATAAACAACCCCACAATCCTGCTGACCGGGGGCAGGAAGCGGGGCAGGAAACCCAGCGGCCGCCGGCCCCATGGCCCAGCGGGCCTGCAGCAATGGCCGGGCCAGCGGCGCCCTCCCCGGCCGGCCCCATGCCTCCCCCTCCTGCCCCCCGCCCGCTGGCCTGGAGCCAGAGAGGAGCCTGCCTGGCGGGGGCAGCCGGGGCTCCAGCCCCCACCGGCTTCCTCATCGGCTCAGACCCGGGGCTGTGACAGGGTCCCGTCCCAGGCTGGCCCTCAGCCGCAGGACCAGGGGCTCGGAGAGATGGGACGGGGCCTTTGGGGGGCCTGGTCGCCGGCCCCCACTCCTGGGAGCAGATCATTCTGAGGGGCAGCGGCCTGGGCCCGTTTGCCGGGGAAAGGCGGGCTCGGCTGCTCAGGTGCCTGTTTCCCTGCAAGGATCCCCCTCTCGATGCCAGGCCTGGGCCGCGGGGAGAGCAGGGCCCTCACGCTCCTTCCTGCCGAGCCCTGGTCCCAGCTGGGCTTCGAGGTGGAGTGAGAGCCCGACCGAGGGCAGTGGGCCTGCGGGTCCCTTCTTCTCGGCGTTGGCCGGAAATGTCCGTGGCTCAGAGACGGGCTCAGGGAAGCCCTGGGTTTCCAGGCCCCGGTCCAGAGGTGGGGGGACAGGGGCCCCGCCCCCTAACCCTCCTCCCACCCTCTGCCGCCCGGGCATGCCCTCCAGCCCGGGACCCCCCCCCCCAACCCGGGCTGCCCCAGACCGGGCAGGCCCAGTCCCCCAGGCATCTGTCCCCGACACTGCCCCTCCTGCTCTCTCCCTCCGTCTCCCAGGCCTACAAGCTGCACCCCAAGCTCCTGTTACCCCAACAATTTCACTCCCCTCCCCCCTCCCAGAGCTTAGCCCCAACCTCCCTCCTGAGCACCGGCCTTATCCCTTGTGCTGAGGTTACTTCTCCGGTCTCTGTGGTCGCGGCCTGGCCCCCCCCACACTGTGGTCAGTCCGCGAGCTGCCTGAACCCCGCTTGCGCAGTTGTCTTCCTGTGACGACGTCTGTGTGGGAGACGCCCGCCACCGAGTGCTCCCCACGCTGTCCTCCTCCGTCCGGTCCCAAAGGCACGCGAGCCGGGCGGACGCGCTGAGAGGTGCTCCGCCCCTTCCGTGTTCTAGAATATTCCGGGCGGGCTTGGGGCGCGTCTCCCCTCGCACGCAGGGGCGGAGGCGTCTGGCCTGGTGGCTTCTTTGTGGGAAGGTTTTCGCTCGGCCGCCGCGACCGCAGTGGGTGTGGGACGGTCCGGCGGGCCCCTCTCCGTCCGTCCGTCTCCCTCAGTTGCGTATCCTGGGAACCCAAGTTCGCTGGCACGTTCACGCCCGTGTCATCCGCAGCCGGGCCCAGGCTGCCGACGTGGGCCGTTCCCTGTCTTCCTGTCGGCCACGCTGGCCGGCGATGTGCCCGTTCTGTTCATATTTCCAGGGCCCGCCCGCCCTGCGGGTCCCACGCGGGGGCCCGTCCTCTCTCGTTCCCTCTCTCCGTCTTCCTTCCCGGGACGCGGCCTCAGGCACCGCCGCCCTCTGTCCCCAGGTCGGGTCACCCTTGCTTCGCAGGCGCCCCAGCTTCCTAGGTGGCGTTTCAACGGGAGGCTGCGTTTTCCCTCCAGATGCCACTCAAACTGCACCCCCCCCCAGGTGTCTAAAATACACTGAGTGGCCAGGTTATCATGGCCACCCATCAGGACTTCGCTGGGCCACCTTTGGCCTCCAATGCTGCGGCGATTCCTCTTGGCATTGAGTCCACGGGATGTGGGAAGGTGATGCGAGGAATCTGGCCCCGTGTCTGAGGAATAGCGCTGTCCAGTTCTGTGAGATCTGATGGCTGTGGAACCAGCTGCCTGGTGGCTCTTTTAACTTCGTCCCACAAATGCTCCATTGGATGGAGATCTGGTGATGGTGGGGCCACCTCAGCAAGGTGATGTCTCCCTCGTGTTCTGAAACCACGCCCGCACAATACAAGCACAGAGGCGTGGCCATTGTCCTGTTGGAAGAAGCCGTCTCCGTTGGGATACGCCATCGACATGACAGGATGAACCTGATCAGCAGCGATACTTAGGGATGTCGTGCCATTCAGACGTTTATAATGGTCTGGCCCTCTAGCAACGTCAGCGCGAAATTATAGCCAATTTGCCCACAAACGTCAGGTGGTCACAATCATCTGGCCCCTCAGTGTGTATCTTTATGGATGTCAGAGAGGAAGAGAGAGGAAGAGAAACATCCATGATGGGAGAGACTCATGGACCGGCTGCCTCCTGCACGCCCCCCACTGGGGATCGAGCCCACAACCCGGGCACGTGCCCTGACGGGGAAGTGAACCCTGACCTCCTGGTTCCGAGGTTGATGCTCAACCACTGAGCCGCACTGGCTGGCCGGGCTCCCGGCTGGGATGACGTAGCGTTTACTTTTAATGGTCGCTCACGTGCAGGTTCCTCTCGTCTCCGTTGCCACCGCCTCTGGTTTCTCCTGGAGGCCGGGCCGGGATCTGTCTGCAGTGGGACTTGAGGCGCTGGGGCGGCGGCGAGGGCTCTGTGGGCGCAGGAGGCCCTGGAGGCGGGCCATCCTTTGAGGAGGTGCGGGGGAGAAGGGGGGAGAAGGGGGGGAGAAGGGGGGAGAAGGGGGGCGTGGCGGACGCTCTGTGCTTGTAAATGCGCCTCCTGCGCCCAGTGCCGAGCGGGTTCCCAGGCGGCTGGGCCCGGCATTGTGCTCTGCCCACAGCCTGTTAACTGTTTGTGAAATCACATCCTCGTTGGAAATGGGGGTTTTTAGCTCCATTTACTGGGGTGACCTAGGTTAACAGGGTCGCATAGGCTTCAGGTGTGGGTGTCTAGGAGGCAAGATCTGTATGGTGCCCATGTGCCCCCCCACCCACCCAAAGGCAAATCATCTTTTTAAAAAAATATGTTTTTATTGATTTTAGCGAGAGGAAGGGAGAGGGCGAGAGAGATGGAAACATCAATGATGAGGGAGAATCATGGATCGGCCGCCTCCTGCAGCCCCCACCCTGGGGATCGAGCCCACAACCTGGGCAGGTGCCTTTGACAGGAATCGAACCCGGGACCCTTGAGTCTGCAGGCCGACGCTCTGTCCACTGAGCCACACCGGCCAGGGCATCATCTCATCTCCTGTCACCATACGTTAGGCCCCCTTCACCCCCTCCCCCTCTCCGTTCCCTCTGGCAACCAGGACACGGCCGTTTGTG